ATTGTTCCTTTATTCTCCGTGTACTTTAGCCTTAATCATAATAAAGGTTAATTGTCATTACTTGTGTTAACATAGAAATATTTAGTTAATAAATATATTGTAGAATAAAGTTCAATGATAATATTTTAAAACAATTAAAAATAAATGCAAATTAATTTGTTTTTGATACGAATGATAAACAGTAGATAAACAGTACAATGATTTTAGTTTACAGATTATTGACGGATTTCAGTCATTTGGAGGGTAACTTTTCGGAAACTTTAACACGACACGTCAATAAAACAATCGCTTGAATATATTTCAGCTACATTATTTTTGTATAATCAAAGATTATAGTTAAGCATCTTAATCCTTTAAAGTTCGATGAATAGTAATAAAATTAAAGTCTAACGTTTCAAATGTATTTTAAATTAAATGTAATTTTTGGTTTTTTAATTTATTTAATGCTACCAGTTCTACATAGAATCACAGGAAAATTACTTATGCTTGAAATTCAGTTAAACTTCTTCTGAAAGTTACTTATTAATAGACATATTATCATATTACAGATAAAAAAAAGTATTCATGTTCAAAAATATGTAATAATATGTAAGAGGATAGCAAGTTGAACTATAAATGAAATTCCAATGAAATTATAGAAATCAGCTACATTTCATACCAATTATTATTAAAGATTCAGAATGCATAACGTGTACTTGTAATTGCGCTTTTTTAAAAATATTTCTTTATGAAGTATATGAGAGACTCAATTTTTTAATGTTGATAAAAAAAAAAAAAAACAAAAAAAAAACTATGAAAATAGATGGTAATGGTTTTGAAAATAAATATAATACGTACTAATAAAAGCCCAAGACATTAAAATTCGTACATTTATATAATATATAATTTATATAATAAAAACTGCTTTTTCATTAAGTTTGGAACGTAATATAATTCGCTCGGTTCTACTTGAATGAAAACTGTAAGCAATCGGTAGTCGGTACTAGATCAAAATATTCTTACGCAGAGAAAACTGGCTACGCGAATAGGAAACATCAAGAATTTTACGGAGCTGGCGATAAGAGCTTAAAGTGATAACGCATGTACCCGCAAGTCGTAACATTCGGTCGATCGCGACCCTCGGTAATTGCACCCCTCATCGGCACGAGTTCGTATAAATTTCCGAATTCAACTTTAATGTTCTCTCTCTCTCTCTCTCTCTCACTCTCTCTCTCTCTCTCTTTCTTCTTCACGATCTCGTCCACGTCGTCTGACATCCTTCATCGCAACCCCTCCCGCGCGATCAACGACTCGATAACGACAATGTCGTGCCTAGCTTGCGTCGGGGTTCTTTTGTTATCCCTCGCGTTTTGCAAGCACGTCAACGAGAAATGTCGTCGCGTTACGTAAGCTATTCCCGTAGGGCACGTTTCGCGTCTTTTTTTCCTTCTGGAGCGTGGCTCGAAATGATTTTTAACGCCATGCATAGCATGGAAGCGCTTATGGATAAGCTTTTGTATTTAGATAAAGCGATAGGACCAGCTCGAATAATATTGTATGCGGAAAAACTGCGCTGACAAATGGTATTTCTAAGCGTACACATACATCATCGTGACTTGTTATACAACTCGCGAGTACGTAGCGTTGCCGAGACGTTGTATTTCGTGACTTGCTTAGCGGGGAAGAGCGCACTTTATATTAAAGAATTAGCATTCGTGATTTATCATCGCAAATAGGCTTTAACTTTTCTACAATGCATTTCTAATTGGTTTTGCCCTTTTAGTTTCTTACGGGTATTTATTTGCCGTCTTATCTCACAAGCAATATACGCGCTTTTAGCTATTATTTAGAATTAATTAACTTGAAGAATTTATTTGTCGAATCATGGCTTGTTTTATGATGACCAAGATAGATGGTAATTCAATTGAAAAATCCCTGCAAACGGCTTTATTTTATCTTTTTCGCACTTGCAGATTTAATATTTAAATTCGAATGTTGGCCGCTCTTATAAATTTCGCTCAAATATAGCAGCATTTGACTTTTCGTATTTGTTGGTGTGCGTTTTCAAGAGAAGGGAAACCGGTATATAGTTACTTTTTCTTCTTCTTCTTCTTCTTCTTCTTCATCTTCTTCATCTTCTTCTTCTTCTTCTTTTTGTTCCCCTTTAAAATCCGTACCTTCATTTAACGGAATACTAATTCAATTATACAGGTCATCTATATATATATATATATATATATATATATATATATAATATTCATAATTTAGCGAATCAGGTTTATTTTTATATTGGAAAAAGTTATATATATAACATAAAAAGGAACCTGATTCGCTAAATTACAATTTTTTTCTATTTATTGTATTATTTATATTACCAATTTTGATCATCAACGTTCAACATCATTTAGAGATAACTTTTAAATACAACTGTGCGACTAATTTAATTGTTGGTTTTACAAATTAACCAGTATTTCATATACATTGTGCATGCATAATTTTTATTCATTAATAAATTATGTAAAATAAAGCAGCTATAAAATTGCGAGAAATTTCAAATGAATCCATATTTATTTGTAAACCATATGTTGCTAGTTAATGATAAAGTTTGTAAACATCTGTGAATTATTTACTGATTATTCATATTCCTTAAGAAGAAACAATGTTTCTAAAAATATAATTTTATAAATTCTTGAGTGGCTTTTAATTGAATAATATTAACACTAAGCGCACATTATATTTGTAAATGGCAAATTTTCATATTCAAATACTTTATTAATTTCAATGATTTAAAAATTTATATACTTATATATTAATTCAGATTTATTAATATTAAAAACTTTTCATTCAATCATCTTTTATAGCTCCTGATTTAAAACTCCTGATTTTAATATTCATAAAAAAAAAAGTTTGTCAAATAAGGAGAATATTATAACCGAAGTATAAAATGAAAATGAAAATGTACAGTTTGGACAATGACAAGCCAAGAGATAATTTTTTATGCAGTCGGTATTTCCAGCCTATTCATAGGGATTTACGTGAAAAATGTAAAAGTAAAAAACTTTTGTTCATAAGTATAATTGCCCTTTTTATTTATTTTGATATTTACTTTAAATTTTAATTATCAAATGATGTATGAGCAGCTTATAATTTATTAAACTTAATTAATATAATCAATTAATTGAAGAATTAAACATTATTTTACTAATTTTCAAAAACTTGTAAAACATATATACTCTAAAGCAATTTTCTTTATTTATTATTATTAATGACGATGTTATTTAACTAAATTTGTCAATGGATTATAGGAAAGCTCAGTTACCAAAATGTATAGAATCCAATACAAGATTTGCTTTCAATATGCTTCAATTTCTTATAATGTAATCGTATAATTTGTTTTCCAATGTATTATTAAATTACACAATTACTAGATTCATGAAGAAAGTAAAATAAAACCTAAGCATATTGAAATATTAAAGATTGATTTATTTTAAGTATTGCAGAGACCTTTTACTAAAAGTAAAAGCTTTCTTAGCTTTAATGTAGCCATTATTTTATAAATACAAAACTCTTTTGTAATTATGTTTTTCGTAAATTCATACTTTTACTTACGAAAGTACATAAAATTTTTTGAGATTTATTCAAACGCGAAATTCTTACAATTAATATTTTAATCATTATTATATTATTATTTAGATTGAAATTGTATGGAGGAGTCGTGAAAATTTAAGAAATATAAACTAGTCGAGAGTGTCTAAACGATTAAACAAACATTAGAAAGCAATATTAATGCTAAAATAGTCTTTACATTAATCGATTACTTCATAACTCTTGTTATTTATCTACAATAATGATTTGATTATAATAATTATTCATTTTGATTTAATGCTACTTTTATAATATTTCTTATCACAATATCTAAAAATTTATTTTGAAATGTTAACGAATCTTTCGATATGATTGGCATGTGACACGAAAGCATATATAATCTCCTTATTAATTAACAACGGAACTTAATGTTACCTACATTTTACTGACAGATCAGTCCATTGAAGTCAAAATGAAGATAAAACTCACTTGATTATTACCGCCTATTCTTCCATGGCCAACATGTAAATATAACAAATAAAGCATTTAATGCAATATTTTGTGTATTACATCGTGTACAATATTATCTATTTGATGATTCGTATGTTATCCAGTGATTTGCAAAGTCCCACATACCCAATAAAGATTAACATTTTCTCTAAGATCGTGGATAAATAAGGGAGATAATATTTTTATATATGAATTACGAGAAGTGATAATTTTAATAATCGAAACAAATGATTGAAATTGCTATATATAATTATTAAATATACTTTATAGTCTAAAGTTTTAAACTAAAACATTGCCGACTGTGGATAATAGTACATGAGCGAATACAAAATTTTATAAACTTTGTCTTTTTATTCTATGAAATAGATGAAAACGGTTATCTTCAATAGTTTTGAAATCTATGGCTCACAGAATAAAACATTGATTTAATTAAATCACGTTTAGTCGAGTAAAGCACATAAAATTATCGTCATCGTCATCGTCATCGTCATTATTATTATTGTTATCCTGTCTACATTATGAAAAATCTTGATCTACCTTTAATTACAATAATTGTTAAGTTAGACAGTTAATTGAACTGATAGTTAATTTCCTGCGTTACTTATTTTTGCTCCTCCGTTATTATTCATATAATTGTAAACCTCGAATTATCATTAACAAATACTAATTAATAAAATAATATATAATTGTAGAAAAATATTTTTCACTCGAAATTATCCGTATGCTCGTTGTAAATGAATTTTCGCTGGTAAATAGTTGTGAAGCAAAAGAAGGAAGAAAAAAGAGCAAAAAGCTAAAAGTTTCGAAATATTTTTAAACCGTTTCAAAACATCTGTATCAATTTAAAGTCAAGCGCCTGATAACCTCCAACATAATCTATTTAAAATGTGTACTGATTTACAAGTGCTTACTCAGTGAGTCGCCAACTGGCCAGTGTGGACTCAATTCATTTGAAAGGCTTCATTCGTTAACGCACCACAAAATGACATATAAGGATTGGAGGCTGAAAGTGATGGTTATTAATATTTTAGTGACAATAAGTGAATTTACTGTTAATGGATATTCAACAAATGGATGTGAATTGAGATGTAAGTTAATTTGTTAACGTTTAACTGGAAGTGTTCGTTTCAATTATTAGTATATTGCGGTGGAGATATATTTCCATTGTAATAGTGGTATGAAAACTATTCTTATTGACTTTACAAAATTCATGCATTTAAGTAATAAATTTATTACGTAGACGGTTAATAATTATGGATCACGTAAGTATAAAATTACAAAATAAATAATTTATTATAAAATAATTATCCGTATGTTGTGGTGTTCGTTTAAATGCAGCGTAGAGTGTTGTAGGGCTTATATTAATTTTACGAAAGATAAAAGAACTTCATTTTTGGAATATATAATTAAGCTATTAGTGCTCTTGGAGTTATTGTAACGACATGCGGTATTTAAATATCGATACCGACAGCTCTTATCTCCATAAATGAATGAATGTCCCTGGGAGCATTATATCTCAATTGACAATTTCATTAATCTAGATAAAAAACACGTGGACGACAAGCCCAACTTCTTTCTGATGACCAACTCTTTGCCGGGAATCTGCCGAATTCAGCACGAGGACAATTCGACCGTGAATTACCACGTGGATAGGAAGTACGCGGAGCAGATAAGACCGGAAACTGTAATTGGCGGACTAAACTACGACGCGCGCAATGGTACCATTCTCTATTGGGCGAAAATTGCGAATGTTGACCACTCGAGGCTTTACAAGGTGCGTTTAAACGACAGCCACTGGCAGTCGGTCCTCGACCAGGATGACGACTTTCGCGACATGACCTACGACTGGATCTCCAAGAATCTTTACATCATAATGGGGGTGCGCAGCCTAATGGTGGCCGTGAACGCCGAGAACTCGTGGAATCCGACGGTGGTGATGTACGACAGGTCGCAGCTGACGAGCTTGGCCGTTCATCCCAACAAAGGCTACCTCTTCTTCGTGGAGACGAGTTACTGGTTTGGTGTGCAAAACAAGATATGTAGGGCTCATCTCGACGGCTCGAACGTCATCGAATTCAATCGCACGGGGACAGATCTACGATATTACATCGCGAGCATCGTCGTTGACTTTTATAGCGATAGATTGTATTGGAGCGTACCGGGGATGGATAAAATTCAGCACTCGAATCTCAATGGCGAGGACGTCGGTACGATAGGCAGTGTGCGCGTCTACTCGGGACAGCTCGACCTCTCGTCCCGGACTCTCGCCGTTAGTAAGCATTACGTTTACTATCGCAGCTCAGAAGCGAATACCGTCCGGAGGATCGAGAAGACGAGCGAGATGAAGGATGCTGACTACGAGCTCGTTAATATCGAGGCTGCGCCCATAACTGAGATCATGGCGTTTACCTACAAGTCACAGAAGGTGAGGAAGGATCATCCGTGCAAGGAGGTCCGAGGTGGTTGCGAGAAATATTGTTTTGCTGTGCCGCACGACGAAGGACTACTCAAGCGCGTTTGTAAGTGCAGTTTTAACGACGTCCTGGCTACCAATGGTGTCTCGTGCGTTAAGAAAAGACAGCCTATGGGATGATAAATCGGTGCCGATGCGGCTCACTGTGATTACTCTTCACTCCTTTTCCTGCCAGGCTACGATGTTCACGATGTTCGCAAAATTTTCACAAATATATTGCGTGCGACATGCGTTAAGATATATTGCCTACATCGTGCCATTTATCATGGCTAGTATTTGAATAATCAAGAAAAATCACACATTTTCATAATGCACTGATACTGGCTAACAATAATGTATACAAACGCCAATAAGAAATTAATTTTGTTGTAATGAAAAAAAAAATTTTTAGTGCAAATGGTCGACTCAAATTAATTTTAACTACCTACTTATTCTGATAGATAGATATCCAAGAATATCCATATGAAAAACATCAACGTAGCTTAAGTTATAAATAAAGCCAATTGCTGTTAATAATTCGGTTTATCACGAGGCGATCAAATTAATTTTTTAGATTTGTAGGAAAAAAAAAAAGAAAAAAAAAAGATTTGCAGCAACTATTTATTTCATTGATTAAGTGGATATTTTATCGAAACAAAAAATCTTAAAACATACTATATTACTAAATTATATAGCGACCTCGTAAAAATGCTTTATTTATATTAATAATAATAATAATAACAATAACAATAGCAATAACAACAACAATAATAATAATAATAATAATAATAATAATAATAATAATAGTAGTAATAATAGTAATAATAGTAATAATAATAGTAATAATAGTAATAATAGTAATAATAGTAATAATAGTAATAATACAAATGAAAAACAAAGTGTAGACAGATAATTTATAATCAGATAATACAATAGAAAATGATTTAAAGAAAGTATTTTATTAAAGAAATTTGAAATTATTATAATAAAAAGTATATTATAATGTATGATCTGTTATCTATGTGATCGAAAAAAATAAGAAAAATTGCTATTAAGCAAATATGGGACAAAATTACTTTTGAAGAAAAATAAAATCTGGCACTTTATGCAAACAATATAATTTTCGTTGGTTTTGATTTTAAAAATAATTGAATAATTTCTATTACAAAACACTTTTATCGCAAAATTGTAAAGAAAAAGCCATTATGAGATTAAATAATAAATTCATTTCGCTTTCCTGCAAATTCGTTGTTATCAATTTTGATCCATTAAAATGTAAAATGGATTTTGATTATCTTAATGATTGTGAAGAAAGTAATGAAGAAATGTTTTGCAAAATTGTTGCTTGTTGTTTTTCTTGAGCAATGATTATTGCTCGTCGGCAATATTTACTGCCGACGTTTTGCGAATTTTGAAATTGAGGACAAAAAATTATAAATTGAGCTCATCGGTTTCATGAATGTACTTACTATATAACTTAAATGATAGCAATTTATTAAACTTCATATTAGTTTTGAACTGATAAAAAGATTTTACAAAACTTTTTAAACAGTTAAAATTGCTTAACTTTATAATTCATATAAACATTTCAATCGTAAAAAAGGGCAAAAAATTTTCATTTATATATTTTTTAAGAAACATTAATAAATTTGTTAATAAAAATATAAATAAATAATGTAATTTTCGCACGAGTTGAGGTACACGGATAATGTATGTAAATTTATTTATATTAAGTGAAAATGATTATTATCGTAACGATTATAGTATGAAGAGTTTTTATATTAGAAAAAGATTCTGATTGATCGAAATTTTCTTTTTGTTTTTGTAAAGAATTTTATTTCATAAGATGTTTGTATTGCATTTAATATCGAAGCCAGAAATTAACATATTATAATAAATTAATAAAAAATATTTAAAGAAGAAAAATCTATTATTCATTATTATTATAATCTAAATAGCAATTTATAGATGTAATTTAAAATTTTACGTCCAATATATGTATAGTGCGACAAATATTCAATTACATTGTTTTTAACCAATAAACACCAAGCATATCAGTAATTATTATTCAACATAGATAGCTATAATCAGTTTCAGTAAATACATAGTACGCGGGAGTTTAATCGCATTGGAATTAAATTCGTCGATTAAGTCTTTTTCTTTCTTGCTTATAAACATCGAATGCGAAAATACGATCGTAACTCTTAATGCGGTGGAAATAATTTTTTCTACAAAATATTAATTGAATTGAAATCCATCCGAAATTCGTGAATAACGAGATCAGAGACGTAAAAGAGGCGAAGATGAGAACTTTAATTAATCCTCGCGTACAGTCAATGCCATCGTTATAATCCATTATGTAATAATAGAATTTTCCCAATTTCAATGCGTTTAAATTCACCTTTCAAACGATAGATTATACCTGCGAAAGTAAACGCGATCGGTCTCCTAGTCAATAATAATCCTTAGTCAATAAAAACCTCCTGACCTTTAATGCGCCAGACCAAACTGGTGAAAGAAGGCGGAATGCCGGGATCGCCCCCCCCCCCCAAATCAAATGAACTACACTGTGCAGTTAGACAATGCAACCGCGGGAGGAGTAGCCCGCCCGCGTTATCAGGGTGCGCCGGACGTTGACGGGGCCGTCGACACCCACGCCACGAGGACAATGGCGGGAGGGCGACTCAGGTTGGGATTAACCTGCAGCGGCGACCTCGAGATTAGCGGGAAAGTGCGCGCGCCATTGTGTTCGGCGGACTCCGAGGGCGATGAAAGCTACGCGAATCCAACGATCGGGATCGCGAAAAGTTTTTTGCCACCTGACGCGGATATTCGTCCTGCGGCGATTATCATAGCCTCCGTGGTCTCGATAAGATTCTCTTCAATTACAGATGATTTACGGCTCTTGTTTCATTGTGTGTACTCATCCTTGATTGGGCGAGTAAATAGCGACTTTCAATATCACTAAATCTTGATCTGTGAATACGATATCTTACTAACACATCGTAGATTATGCCGATAAAAAATTCACTGGGACAAGTAAAATTTTCATGATTTAATAACAGGATCTATAATAAAGCGAAGCGATCATGAATAAATGCCAGTAAACGGCTATTATTAAATAATAATAGTATATCAAGAATATCAACTTTTGTTCATGTATTCAATTTTTATGCACCCATTTCTTATGCTTATATCCTTATCTCATATCTTTTAAGGTAAAAATTGCAAGTATTATAATTTTCTTACCATTTCATTTCTTGTCGACTCTTATATTAAATGGTATTAAAAACTACATTTTCATTCATGTCGTTTATGTTTGTATATGTGTATGTTTTTAATCTTCATACTTTCGTCATTTTCAATACATTAATTTTACGTTTAAGTTTCATTTTATTGAAACATAAGGAATAATTTCATTCAACTTGGCGACAATGTTTGAGTATCGTAGAGCATATTTGCAATTATTTTCCAGAAACGTCCCGAATGTATAAATAAAATTTTAGGAATAAAATTTAGATTTAGCTATTTATAGGATTTAATCTTATGAAAAATTAGGACTACAATGTTGAAATATTTTTAACCCTTTAATCCGTAATTTTGACATATTTTATTAGCCGAATATATTACGATCAGTCGGACTCGTAATAATAAACTTGCTTATTAAATTAAGTAAATGCATGTTTACGACGGGTTCTTCGATAATCTTGAGAAATATAATTCTACCAATGTTGAAAATAGTGGCTGAAGATGAGCGTTGATCAAAATGTGTAGGGGCGAGTGTGCAAAAATGTAATTGTCCCCGCTTGAATAAATGAGGCATTGCTCACGGACATTTTAGCCACTTTGAAGTATCACACGGAAACGAACGGAAAGCAGTAATGCGCAAATGACATAATACATTGAGTTGCCCGAACCAAGCACACAATCGCAGAAATAAGATGAAATAAACGACATAAAAAGGTGGGTTTGTGTAGACGTATTTGTATAGTTTATTAAGCTACAATATTCTGTAGCTTATATTATGAAAAAATGTTACATTGTCGGATATGGAAAGTCGAATAATTAAATCAATATTTTTAGTATTTACCTTATTTTATAGCTAATTTATGGATATTTAGTACGTTCATTGATGTAATCATAAATGAGAGTATTTATAAAAGAAATTTCAATTACACTTTGCACTAATTGTGAGATGTAATGTAAAAAAACAAGAACTATTTGTTTTTTTTTTAAGCTAATTAATTACGGTTATTGTAAAGTAAACCAATTTTTATAAAATTGCGAGCTTATATTTTTATTAAAGTAACTGTATAATAATTTGTCTTTATATTTTATCTTTATAGTAATAATAAAACAGTTAAAAGATATTTTCTATCATTAAACAGAAAAATGCAATTAAAACAAACGACTTGAGCGTTGTAAATTTAAGGAATTACTCACAACATCAATGGGCCAAGATGTGTTATAAATTCAATGGCTTTACTTAAGCAATTGTTGTCTCTGTCTAATTATGGAAGGGAGGAGAATCCAGTCTCCTGTTATGTCCTTATCCTTAAGTAGCTGACTCTAATCTTGGGTTATAAGGAGAGTCCCGCCAGAAAAACAGGTTTTATTTTTCATATAAATTCGAAAACTCGTCAGTAGTCATCCGGAGCAGATGTCGAAATGAATTAAAGGTGTGCGGGCGGCACTTACCTGCCCGATTATTATAGCAGGCGTCGATCTCGCAAGACTTTGAGAGAATAAGAAACTGTTATTGGCTAGTCTTTTTCAAAGCGCATTATGTGATATGAAGCGGTCGATTAGCTTTTGAAGGGGACGTGACGGGTTTCGTATATTAAATTATGCGGTACGCTTCCTCACTCTCTAATTAATGCGCGCGTTAATTTTTTTCAATCCCGTATCGGTATGAACCGAGGCGTACTTTTATTCGCCGGATGATGAGTTATCCGGTGGCGATGAACCGCATCCTTACGATCGTTCGCTTTTGTGGCTTATGAATTATTGTTTGGATTTTGCAAGGCGGCAAAATTCCTGCCAATGCCTTTTGATTCTTTGACGTCATTCGTTATTGGAGAATAAAATTTAAGGCGAATTGTTTAATAATTTTTCTTTATATCGCCCTACACTTGGTATAAAGTAGTATTTTGAAAATTTCATTGTGGCGAATAATTTTTCATTGCTTATTTACGTAATAATATAACGGCTGCACCGCCATGTCTTTAAGCAAATCTTTATGATCTATTGTAAACATTTATATTCTTATACATTTTTTTTTTTATGAATAATGAATTTACGTTAGGGCGCATGTGAAAGAGAAAATATATTTACATTATAATACGCTTAAAGTATTAAGCATTTTAAAGTTTAAGGCTT